ATTAAACTGAAACTAATCATAGACGACAACTCACTTGCATTATCGTTTATCGCAGTGTTCTCAAGAGTTTTTATTTTGAAGTGTAGTTCTCACGAAGAACTCAGTCAGTTGCTGAATGTGTTCACAGAGTATTCACACACATACGGACTGTATGGTTTGCCTCTCAAAATAGCTGTCTTAAAATCGACCTGGTCAGTTCCATTGCCCGTCTATAGAGCTCTTGAATATTTGGATTCGCGGCATCCCGAGGAACAGGAAGGTATTTTAAGAGTCAGTGGAGAAAAGAATAAAATGGATACCATCAAAGGGATATTTGAAAAAAACAAGGATTGTGATCCCAACAAATTTACAAATGTCAATGACGCAATTGGAGTAATGAAAGATTATTTAATGTCACTTCCAGAGTCTTTGGTACCTTTCAATTTGTTGAATGAATTTCTTGATATTCCAAGGAATAAATTAGATTCCAACTTCTTAAAACGACTTCCCGAGATCAACAGAGTGACAATGTATGTCATATTTAGATTTCTCGACAAGGTGTACAAGAAAAGGGAACACAATAAGATGGATGCCAAAAACATTGGGACGTGTATAGGGATGAGTCTCTCAAAGAAACCGAATGAATGTGATTTTATTGAGATGGATCGACATATTAAAGCAGTGACCAATTCCGTCGAATATCTTGTTGAACACTTCGAAGAATATTTTAAAGAGACGGAGAAAGAAATTGCGCAGTTGGTTGGGCCAAAGTATCCCATTGCAGCACAACAAGAAACAAACGACCTCAATGAAATTAAGGAGAACATGAAAAGGGAAAAGAATGAGTCGAGAAAGTCGATTAGAGTGAACCATACAAAGACTACAAAGTCTATGGCTTCCTTTATGGAAACAATCAAAAGAATTGCTTCACCAAAACTGTTTTCTCCAAAAGGATTATCACCAAAAGTTCAATCGCCAAGAATCAAAGAAAAGGTCGAAAAGAAAGAGAGAGAAAGATCATCAACTCCACGACTCCCAGAGATCATCGAAAAGAAGGAAAAAACAAAACAACTCAAAAAGATGAAATCAAAAAGTCTTCCTAGTTCTAATCATTGTTCTGAGGATGGCGATTTAGATGAAAGTTAAATAAAGTAGTTTGGAAAGTTGGTTGAAAGATACATACAATACAACACATTATTATAATTAAAATAATATATATTATTTATTACAATAATATATTATTATATTATAATATGGAAATGAGATGGAAATGCCATTTAAAAATAATACAATTGTATTGTAGTTTTTCTAGTTTTCACCTTTTTATATTGTGTAATAAAATGTACTTAATAAACTGCTTAATAACAGGAAATATATTATTTAAACAGAAAAATTGATTTTTAAATAACTTAAATTTTGTTCAATGATATTGAAGGTGTAAAAAAGTGACTTATTTTATCATTCCATAACAATATTTATAACATGTAATGTATACAAAATGATTAATTTAATAAATGGGCTTGAAAACTGTTTCAAGAGTATACCTATTCTTTTAAAAATATATTTGATTATAATATTTATAATAAAATATCATTAAGAAAAAAAACAGTTTGATTTTTTATGGAAACATTTTAAATCAAAATATGTAACAATTTATATCAAAAACTTTAAATCTGAACTTACGCAATTTTTTATTCTGATGATTAAATTGTTTCTTTAGCAATTTCTTCCTCTATCACAATTGTTGTCTTGATCATAGAAAGCAATTGCATGCTGATCACAAGCTTCAAAACAACCTTGACATTCAATACATGCTTGTGCATTTTGCAAGACAGACTTTCCATTGACAAGTTCAAGAATTTTAACTGGACATACTTCAACACACGCTCCACATCCGTTGCATTTCACTGGGTCTATTGTTGGTGGCATTTGATGTTCATAGTTTGTATTAATTGAGTTTAAATGTGTTTTTAATCAAATCTCAAATTATATTAATAATTATTATTTTTATTATCACCACTTCTTTGGTTAGGTTGTTAAATTGAATGTAAACTTCCTTTTTTTACAATGTTTTCTCCTTGAAAATACATGTTCTAAAACCTTCACTTTTTTCATTGTTTCACAAAAATGTGCGACTAGTCTTATTGTTCATACACTTTCTTCACTTCTTTATCAACTCATTCAATTTGAAATTGTTTCACAAAACGTCCATTATATTAATTTCAATTATTTTCTTTGTTTTTATTTGAAAAGTCTCATTATAAATGTTTTTTTATTATATAGTTTGATAGTTGTTTTTTTACGAGCATTTATCGTCCAATCATATTTAATGGTGGTGTAAATAGAGTTATCTGTAATATAAAAAAAATCCTATTATAGAAAAGGGAAAAATATTTGTCTAGGTTGGAGCCTAACAATTTCAAAACTGTCACAAAACCATTTTCCTTAAAAAGAATATAGTTCGTAATAAAACGTAATAATGTTCGAAATAACACTGTCTATCATTTTATGAAATGAACGATTTTCATTTTTTGTTTCAAAAAATGATCAATAAAAATTGTGGAATTTTTTTATATAGTTAATTATTTATAAATATGGTTTTTAGAATTGTTAAAGGTTAAATACTCTAAATAGGAACACATAACCTTTTTTTTGTGAAAATAAATCTTTATTTAGAAAAATTTAATTATATGGTATTTATTTCAACACAAATTGTTCTGGAAAAGGCCCACACATATCATCGACCCAAAGAATTTAAATAATCAATATAATAATTAAATACAGTCTTTAAAGCTTGCGTTATAAAAAAAGCTTGCCTTCTGATATTGTTTATCAAAATATAGTTAAATTAATAATATCAAATTTATAATTAATAGTTAATTATAAAAAACATAAATTGGGAAATTATTTCGATTGATATCAAACAAATAAAAAATTGAAAAAATAATAAATAATTTATTTCTTGTTTATATAATAGAAATAACTAAAAAAACAATTACAAAAGGTCTTCTTTTCCCATAAGGCTAGCTTGAGGGAATAATATATAAATTGTTGTGTAAATACAGTTAAAATAATATGGGTTTAATTAAATAATCATTATTTATTTAATTATGATTATTAAATAATTAATAATCATAATACATTCAAAAATAATTAAATCAAAAGAAAGAAAAAAATTGTCATATAAAAAACGATAAATCTAATATAAATTAACTAACTTCTTAATGAAAATTATTTGATTACAGATGTGGGACTAAAGTTTCGACAAGTACCAAAATTTCAACTTGTTATTTAAATACTATTTGAATAACATTGAACAAGTTTTCTTATTATTTTTTAAAACATGGTCAAAATTTAACTTTTAAATTTGGTTTTTACAATGGTATAAAAGTTATTAATTATTAGTCAAAACTGTAGTCCTGGTCGAAACTTTAGTACCATATTTATAGAGTTTATCAAAAGACATTGTCTTTGGCTTTTTGATCAATGATAATTAAAAATATTGGGATTATGATTAAATAATCAATAATAGTTGTTTAAATTTTTAATATTTTTTAGTTTTTTACCTATTTCCCTTTTTAAGACAATTATTTTAGTATAAATCAATATAAACAACTTTTTACAAGGTTTCACATCAAACTTTATATGTTCTAAATAATAATAAAAAAATTTATAATCAAAGTTAAAATTGTTTTTGGTGTGTTAATGTAGTTTGTACTTTAACAATATAACGGTTTTCAAAAACATGTTAATTACTAAAATAATACAGTATAACAACTCTGCTTAATGTATGTATAGGTAAATCGTATTATCTAATAATTTCTCAATTAAAAAAATGTTTTTTCCTCATAAAAAACAAATAAAAAATAAAACGCTTAAAATGAATAAATTGTAATTACCCTTTACACACTCCTTTGTGAGGTTTCACTATTTACACACACATACATTTTACCGCTACAAATCAAAAAAATGTCTTTTAAATTTTATTATCAATTCAACGCTCACTCCAATAAAACTTTTTAAGATCGGGTTTTCTCAAGAACAAGGTTTTAAATGATAACCACAAATAGTGTTCTCTAAAGTACGATTTAAAACGTTTGATAAACGAAATATGCCACTCTTGAGAGAACAAAGATATATATATTATACCTTTTTGATCTTAAAAAGTTTGACTGTACTTTCCGCCACCTAACAAAAGTCATTTGAACTAGTAAATCACTCAATTAAAAAGTTTTTTCATTTCTATATGTGACATCCTTACTTTGTCTCATGTCTTTTGGGTAATCATCCGTGAAGAGAGTTCCTTCGCAGAGTCTAGCTGTTCTCATATCGCCGTTCGTCACATAATTTCTTCCTGCATTTTCTGCGCAAAGCATCGCCTTTTGATAAATTCGGACTAAGAACTGTTCCCCACCATCTTGCAGTTCTTGAATAGCTTCTTTGTGAATTCTGAACTCATCTTCTTTCTTTCCCGTCGCCATTTCTTTTGTCATCGAATATATCAAATTCGCAAATTTCTGTTCGTCGAAGACAAAATCCGTTTTGTAGAGTTCGCTCTTTGGAAATTCATTTGCGATGTCGTGGATGGCACTCTCACTCGAGTCGTCAAACGCCGTCTCAACGTCTTCCATTTCACTTTCTTCGTTATCTTCACTTTCTCTTTCGTTTTGTTCATTTGTTGCATTAGCGCCGGCGTCGACATCTCCGGCGACTTTGGCTGTGTCGGGAGTGTCTTCCTTCGACTCATCGTCGTCGAAGATGTTCTCGCAGTCCATCGCGTTCGAAGTGAAAAACTGACATAAATCTTCTTCGTCACTTGCATCGACTAAGTTTTGGTCGTCAACACACTCGTCTGAAACCTCGTCTTTTTTTGCAGTCAAAACGTCCTCTTCCATCGGGCTTTTCTCTTCGGAACTGGTAAATAATTCGTTTTCTAGTTCTTCTTCGTGTTTTCCTTTGTTTTTAGGGTTCTTTGATTTCTTTTGTTTCTTTTGTTTCTTCTTCTTCTTTTCAGCTCGAGTTTTCTCTAGTGAAAGTGGTTGTTTTTGTTTTTGGCTAAGTTCCTTTGAAGTATCTTGCGGTTGGGGAGGATTTTTGGGGCGGTCGACTGGGGTCGGGGCGGTCGCATCAGTTTCAGACTTTTTGACTGGCTTTCCGTTTTTTCCTTTTGTACGTCCCATCTTTGGGTGTTTTTAATATTTTTTTAAAAAGAAGAACAAGGGTTCAAAAAGAAGAAAAAATTGTATTATATGATTTAATACATTTTATTATTATTATATGAATGTTGAACAAATGATCTGGTATAATAATATGTATTATATTTATTAATACATTAAATTATATGAAAAAAGGAAAATATAAAACTGTCGAAAAGTAATTTGGTATTAAACCAAAACTATTTATATTAGTTATATTGTTATAATTTAATAGTAATAATAATAGTTATTAAAAATAACTTATTTTAAACTAGTTTCTACTATTTGAACTAC